ATCCTTATTACATTCTTAATATTAGAAATGTTAGGAAGGCACATTCTACTCCCTGCTGCTAACAGCACCTCTAAAGTAACATATACATTTTCTAGAGAACAGTGAAGATGGTTCTTCAATTTTGCCCTCAAGACGATTGTCAACCCAAATGGAATCCATTTCTCAGGGGAACGAGGGAGTCTTGTCCCTGGCCTCCCTTTTCTGTCATCTTCTGTCTCCGCCTCTCTCTTTTTATTCTTTCTTTTCTGGTCGTTTCTCACCCTTCCAGGTCATTTTATTCCATCAAGCTTTCTCCTTGGTGAGGCTGGGGTAGAGAAGAATGAAACTCTGGTCCTTATCTCCCCAAGCCCTTCATGGGAAGGAGGAAGGACAATAGTCCTCTGAGGTCTGTCCTCCAGAGTGACTCATCAAAGGACATAGACTCCCCTGTCCTGGCACTGTTGCCTTTTTAAAGCATACCAGAATAGAAACCTATGTAAATTCCCTACTTATTACCCTGTTTACTAGTGTGGGGCAGGATGGGGCTAGGAAAAAGCCCACCCCAAGAAGGAGATGAGGGTACAACAACAAAATTCTAGTAAGACTTTGTCACCCTCCCCTTCGCTGGTCAGGCCTTCTTCCCCATGGGGACCATCCAGCCATCCCTAGAGCTGAAGTTTATAAAGGCCAGACTGTGGTACACAAAAGGGTGGCAGCGTTCCCTTCCATGTCAGCGACACAGTAAGACCTCTGAGCAAATGCTACATTTATATTCAGTTGCTTGAAATAATAGTTATGATTTGTGCCAAAAAGGGAAAACCGTGTTTCCTGACCATGGGCCCTGAGTCTGAAGACACTCCTCTGGCTGTAATTTCTTCCATCTGCTGGGTCATGGTGCAAAGGCAGAGGGAAACTATTCACCCACTTGAGTCCTGATTTATCTTAACAACGAGGCCAATGCTGATAGAAAAGCAGCAAGGATAAAACTGGTAAGTTTAAAGGCTACCATTTCACCGATTTTAACTGAATCTTTTGTGTACTTTTTCTATGCCACATTGATGTAAATCTTGGATAGGTGGTTTCTGAAAAACAAAACGTTCTTACATTTTTTTTCCTGATGACTGTTGTATCTTAACTGTTAATATCTGGGAACCGATGAGATGTACGTGCCAGATAGCAGGTGCCAGAGAGCTGCACCTGTTAACGTGATGGAGGAAGCAGGCAAACCCGTGAAACTGAGGGGGGACATCCAAGCCATGGAATGAGGTGGGATTATAGTTTGTAAAATGTTTCAATCCCAGCATGCCTTTAATCCCAGCACTTGGGAGGCAGAGGCAGGTGGATCTTTGTGAGTTTGAGGCAAGCCTGGTCTACATAGCAAGTTCTAGGACAGCTGGGGCTACAGAGAGACCCTGTCTCAAAAAAAGACAAAAACAATGTTTCCATATTCACCGTTGCTTCATAATACAAGGTTTCTGTGGTGGCTGCATTTTAAAATTGTATGGGACTTTAAAACTCTATCAAAGCCAAAACTAATCTCAGACTTAATCAAATCAGAACTTTAGGAATGGAGCCAGGGCGATGACATTTATTTTTTTTACAAAGACTCTCAGGTGAGCTGCATCCAGGCCTGGGAACCACTACTATTAGACTGAGTGGGTTAGAAGCATGTTTACATTCTCGTCTCACATATACTATAATCACTCATCATAGAAAGATCTGAAAGCTGTGCATGAATCACCAGAATCCCACTTCAAAATCCTGATCAATAATTTTAGTCCTTGAAGTGGCAATTTAGCAAGTGTTCCCTGTCAGATTCATGAAATGGTGTAGCTTCCTACACACTAGATGAAAGCTATTAAGCATTCTGTTCTTGTGTTCATCCGCACCACCTTTCATTTATCTTCTTTCCCAATATGAATAAAAACTGATTACTAATTGTTTTAGTTACTGTTAAGTTACTGTGACACACTGCCTGACAGAAACAATCAAAGGAAGGAAGGATTTATTTGGGTTGGGCATAGAGTTTCAAAAAGTCCAGTCTATCATGGTAGACAGGGCATGGCAAAGTGACTCACATGGCAGAGAGGAAGCAGAAAAAGAATCATATGGACAGTGCCCAGGCAAGATCTAACTCCTAAACCACACACCTCCAGAGGCCTGCTTCCTCACAGGCCCTACTCCTACCTTTCACTGTCTCCCAATAATGTCATATTATGAATCCATGAAGTAACTAATCCATTGCTTGGGTCAGAACCCTTTTGGTCTGTCTCTGAAAACAACACACACACACACATACCTAGAGGTGCACTTCACTTATCAAGATGTCCCTTCACCCTATCAAGTTGACACACACAATCAACTATCAGTCCAATTACAGTTTGCTTGCCAAGTGGACCATATACCACATACTTTAGTGAGGGATTTCATGAAGAAACCTCTATGCTATGCTTTTAAAGCTAAAAACCAAGTCCAGACAGCTTTCCTGGGAATATTTCTATATCACTTCTAATTGCACTTCCCTCCTGCCTCTCTGCCTTAGAGAATTTCTATCATGAACATAGGCAAAACTCTTCTTATTGCTCTTCCTTTAAAAAGTCCTGTGGGTTAGCTAAATTAAGGAGTCATAGGATGTAGGACCAAGCTGACAATATACTGGTTTATGAGGCTGAGTTTATTAGATTTCTTGGTTGCAAAAACAAAGACTAGCTTAGGTTGCTGAAGATGGGTGGGTGTATAGTGAAGTCATAAGTAGAACATGATAGGAATCTGAGAAAGTCTGCTGGGCCACAGAAGGTTTGCGGTCAAGTGTACAATAGGAAAAAATGCCATTTCCCCCCCTCAGCATCAGGAGCCCAACAGTTTTAGTTTATGCTTCACATTAATAGTGTGAACCCCTCTCTATTTCTGCCTTTCTGTATGTTTCTTTCTGGATTTTCCCTGACTATTTTCTAATCTTTCTCCTTGAATATTCAGGTCTCCAGAAAGGAAAAGCCAAATTAGGCTTCACACCCCATCATTCATGTTCAGTGAAAACCTTTGTGTCTGAACTTCTTAGAGGCTGCTAGCCGGATTGTAGACTGGCTCCCCTGGCTCAGATACTCATCCCAGCCAATCACCAATGATGAGAGGTATCTGAGTAGTAAGAATCAGTCATCTATCCCTCAGGTTCCCAAAGAGGCCTAAAAATGGAGCAGTTCTTGTCAGAGCTGTGTGTTTGCAGGAACTTAGGAGATAATGTAACCCAATAACACAAAAAGCCATGGAACACAGAAGACGTGTACAGATGGGCTACAGGAGATTAACTCCAGATCTCACTCCAGACCTGCAGAATTAAAGGCTCAAAGGGAATGACTAGAGAATGTGCATGTGTGTTTACACATATGTGTACCTATGTACATATGTTCAAGTGAACACAGCTTTAACCTTATGAGGGAATGATAAGGTGGATCGGGCTGAAAGTTAGTCTTGATTCTCTTTGCAGCTTTGTCAGGATGTCATATACACTTGAGTAGAAGTACGAGGGTAAGCACATCAGTAAGACAGAACTCTTGAGGTGAAATAGTTTTCCTCAGAGAAATAAAAACTGTAAGGACTTTGTTTCCTTGACCTTCCAGAATATATTTTCAGATGAGTCTGAGTGGTCAGTAAGATCTAATATTCAGACAGCATAGATTTCTGGTATGGTCTCAAAAATTTAAGGGCTTACTTCAATTTTTCCTCCTTTGTAACACAGGTATATTTAGTAAACCATCATAAGCAACATAAAATTTTATAACACTGTTGCCTTAATTACAAAGAAAATTTTAATTAAGTACTTTAAATAAGTAAATCTAGTTAGTTTGTTTCTTTGTAAGTTCCTTCCTTTGTTTTAAGACAGGGTCTCCCTGTAGCCCCAGCTGGCCTGGAACTTGACCAGATTGGCCTGGGTCTCACAGAGATCTACCTGTATCTGCCTCCAAAGTGCTGGGATTAAAGGCATGCATCACCACACCAGCAACAAAATCTTTTTATCTTAATAAAAGAAAACTAATAAATTATTTGGTAATGTTTTACAGAGAGAGTTGTTTACCATAAATAAACCCCAATAACCAACACCACTATAGTAAATAAGCACATATTTCTTCTTGGTATTATTATCTTTATTACAAAACAAATATTTTATCTTGAGGTAATACTTCAATGACATTTGACCAAAAAAAAAAAACCACAGTTGAATCCTATATACAGAAATTTTGCTATGTGTAACACATGTAAAGGACATGGAGGACAATTTTTCTAGCATTACACATACATGACTTGAAAAAATAAAGCTATAGGTTCTTGTTAAAATGACTTTTTCTCCCATCCCCCCACCAAATCATCCATACCTCCATTAATGGGACAACACTCACATGAGTCCCACAAAAGCACCGAATAGGATAAATTAGTTGGGAAAAAAAAATTTTATTTATACAAAATCCCTCATCATGCCATAGTTTGAAAATGCTTTTACAAACTAAATCTTTAATTGTATATGATTTAATACTGTCTTTCCTGAAAATAATGGAATACTCTTCTTTTCAATGGAGAAATTCTATGTAAACCCCCCCCCAACTCCAGTGACTTTTGCACTGTGAAACCCTCTAATTCGCCAAAGTAATGTTGGTCACCTCCTTCTGTACTCCATTTTTTTTGGTATGTGCCTCTGCTATGGCACTTACCACATGGGTTGCTATAATTTGTTACCTTCATTTTACCCTTCTTTAACTCTAGTTTTTCATCTTACTCTCTCTAAGCTCCTCAGGAGCAAGAAAGGAGTCAGAAGCTTCCTTACAATCTCAGCATCTAGTACAGTGCCTGGTACTAATAGACTCTCAATAACTGTCAGGTTGGTGAGTTAGAACTTACTTTATCTGTGAAGCTACTGTGCATGTGTCTCCTTTGTTCCACTCTCACTAAGTGTGTTCTAACTCACGCCACATTGCTTAAATTTCTAGAGAATGGGTGATGCCCTAGAAACCAGTGTGATGCCCAACAATTCCTTGCAGAAAGAAATGGCCCTAGTTTTCTTTCTGATAAAAGCATCAATAAATTATGGTTGTAATGATTTCCCTACTCCTAAGCCCCAAAAGCCCTTTCTGTGAGAGCTACCTCTCAGGAAAGCCAGCGCTAGTAGCCGTCCTGGCAGTCGTTGTCATCCTGGTCCCCAATGGGTTTGTTGTGATAAGTGTCCACTGTTAGTTTTCTGCTGTCCACCTCCATGTTTTGGGGCTGGCCATCTTCCTCACTGCTGGATGTGCTCTCCGCAGAGTTGCTGTCTTCTTTGGATCTGCTGCTGTCCTGAGAGTCACTGTCAGCCCCTTCCTCAGAGCGGCTGTCCTGCTCAGACCGGCTTTCCTCACTCCTACTCTCTGCTGAGGTGCTCTGAGACTGGAGGCTTTCCTGGCTGGAGCTGTCCCCATCCTCTGCTGACTCCCGGCTTTCCTCCGAGGATCTGAGGCTCTCGTTGGACTGGCTGTCTGCCTGCTCCTCTCTGGATTCGCTTTCCGAACTAGAGAATGTGTTCAGGCTGTCTTCCTCGCTGGACTCGCTGTCTTCCTGGTCTCCCGTCTGGCTAGTGTTATCTGGGTTGTCACCCCTCGACTCGCTGGCCACATCTTCCTGAGACTCACTGTTGCTCTCCTGGGATGGACGGTCAGCTTCTTCACTGGACTCACTGCTGAGGTCTTGTCCATCTGGACCATCTTCCTGGGACTGAGTCTCAGCTGTGTCCTCCTGAGACTCGCTCCTGCTTTCCTCCTTGGATTGGCTGAGGCCAGCTTCCTCAGAGTTGGTGTTCTCTGTGAAGTCGCTCTGGACTTCCCTAGTGTTGCTGTCAGCAAGCTCATCTCTGTCATCTTCCTCAGAAATGTGGGCCTTTCTGAAGAACTTGCTGCTGGGATACTCCATGGACGGGCTGTCATCTGAATCCTGGGTGCTTGTCTGCTTGCTATCCCCTTTAGAGTCTTTTGACCTAACACCAGCACTGCTCACTCTGGAGTGGCCTCCATCACTCCTGGTGCTGTCTGGATCATCGCTCAGCATTCCTTCATCATCAAACTCAGAGCCATCCCCGTGGCTACTCTCCCCCTCACTGCCACCTCCTACCCAAGGCTCCTCACTCTCACTGTCCTGAGTAGAGTCACCTGCCTCAGGCCTGCTGTCTGTCTCATCCTTACTGTCGAGGTCCCTGCTGTCACTGGGGGTATCTTGGACACTGTCCTCCTGTGAGATGTTGTCTTCACTGGATTGTGTGGTGTCTGCAGAGTCCTCGTCACTGTCAAGTCTGGAGTTTCCTCCCGCTTGTCCCTCTGCAGGCCCTGGACTGTTGTTTTCATCACCAAAGGTGTCATCTCCGCTTTCATCTTCATCATCTTCCTTACCATCGTCTATTCCTGCACTCCTAGCGATACCACCAGCTGCTCTATAAACATACTGATCACCATCAGAGCCCAGGTCCTCTTCTGACTCGGTGCTGTTGCTGGGGCCACCATTTGCCTATAATTAAGATAAACGACCATGGTCAGCATTCCAGAAGGGAATACAGAGGAAGGTATCTCTGACCATGTGGACTTTTGGCCTTTTATTCCTATGTCCTACAACTTGACAGAATTTAACAGGAGAAAGGACAGGATAAAATTCAAGTGGAATACTTTTACAGAGCGTCTTGCTCTGTACCCCAGGCTGACTTTGAACTTGTGGGACTCCTACCTTGGACATTTGCAGACTGAAAATGCAAGCATGAACCACTATGTCTAGCTACCTTCCATTCTGAATGACACACTTCCCTCAGTGCTGCAACCCCACCATACTTTGTTAAGCATACATCACACCCTTCTCAAGAGACAGTGGCTACCCTCTCTTGAGTACTTAGAGAACAGTGAGTCAATAAATTATAATGTCTCAGCTGGGCATGGTGGTGCACACCTTTAATTCCAACACTTAGGAGGCAGAGGCAGATGAATCTCTGAGTTCAAGGCCAGTCTGGTCTACATAGTGAGTTTCAGGCCAGCTGGGGTTACAGGGAGACCCTGTCTCAAAAAAGACAAAAAAAAAAAAAAAAAGTCTCCACCAAAGAGCATTTTACCCAATTCTATGTTTTTGAATTTCTATAATGTTCTAATAGATCATTAGTAAAAGATACTTTCATTTAAAAGATACTTTTTAGCAGAGCATGGTGGCACACATCTTTAATCTCAGCACTTGGGAGGCAGAAACAGGCAGACCTTTGTAAGTTCAAGGCCAGCCTGGTCTACATAGTAAGTTCTAGGCTAGCCAGAGCTACATAGTGAAACCTTGTCTCAAAAAAGGTGGGGGGGATTATGATTTAATAAAAGATGTTATCTAAGTCTGCCTTTCTTCAGTACCACCGATGGAAACTGTTTTAAATAGACAATCATCCCTGAGGCAGCTGCTTGTCATCAAAGTTATTACTTATCTGACATTGCCAGTGACATTTGTGTGTGTATGGGGAGGGAGGCGTTGGGGGCTGTAGACTTTTTTTCTTGTCCTTTTTTCCTAACTGAGAGGGACGTTTAGGGCCACAATGTCTCCGGTGATAAAAATGGAATGAACCTAATGTCCGCATTTGAATTTTCTTCACTCATTTTCCCTTTTTTATGTCATGGGATTATTTATCCTGTGTAACCAATGGTTAGAAATTATTATATTTAGAACTGTTGCCAGGTAATTTAATCTACCTCATTTCCTTCAATTCCTAAGTAGTTAGAAAAGCTAAGAAAGCCTGTTTAATTACCTGTTCCTCTGAGCTAACTTTACTTTCTTCTGATGATTCATTGTTCTCCTGAAAGAAAAAAAAAAGTGTTTACTTTCCTTTTAGTAATTCCTGAGGAAAGAGAAAAATATGCTACACATCAATTGCTCGGCATTTATTTTTACTACTTTCAAAATTTTAAAAGGCGTTAAAGGGTGCATTGAAATTATATCATGAGATGTTTATGACAGAAATAAGTGAAATACTTACCACGGGAGGTGGTGGTGACAGAGCCAAGTCGCCCTGTGAAAAAGGAAGAAAAACAAGTTATTTCCTCAGTGGATTATGTCACTGCAAATATTTAGAATAATTTGGGGTGATTTTTAAATTTTTTAGCATCTATTTTATATTTATGTAATAATGAAATTTTATGATAAAATGGCTAAAAATGAAGGTAAAATGACTAATAACTCCAATAAATGTTTGGCTAGACATAAAAGATTTACGTATGTCTGACACTTCACTTAGGAAATTATACATTCTCTCAGAACTGGAGAGAAGGTTCAGTGATTAAGAGCCATTAAGAGGACCGGTTTCAATTCCCAGCACCCACATGGTAGCTAATAATCATCTGTATGTAACTCCAGCTCCAGGGGATCCAATGCCCTCTTCTGACCTCCTCAGGCACTGCACAACACAGATGCACTTACACACATGCAGGCAGTAGACTCATACACATAAAAATAATAAAAAAGTAAAGTTATATATTTTCTGAAGTGGGCTTGTTCCTGCAACCTAAAGGAAATGTAATATAAGATAACATCAAAACTCAAAATCCAGATTTAAGTCACAGTTAACTCATTATTTTGGGGTTTTGCTCTTAAAAACAACCACCCTCATGTTAGCATTGGAAGTCATAGGTCCAGGAAACCCTAGAGGCCCAGGTAAACTAGAGTGGTTGGTCATTTTATGTGAAGGTGACAATTCTTTTTTAATTTTAATTTTTTATTTTTGAGAATGTCATACATGTATATTATCTTTACATTATTTCCATCCCTCCCAGTCCCTCTCCAACTCCACCCATGCCCCCCCATTCCTTCTCATTTCTTGACCTTTTCTTTGAGTGTTAGTGCTACTGTAGGTAACAGTAATAATACATTTATAACATATAATATAAAAACACATTTACAGATGTACATATATAATACACTGAGTCCATTTAGTTTCTTATTCACACATTAAGAAAATTAACACTGACTGTACTGCCATACAGGGTGGCTTTAATGACACTGGATTCAGCTAATGCTTTTGGAACATCTTTGACACTGTTCAATGTAACATAAACCAAAGAAATAATCCATTTTACAAATGTCCACCTTATAAAATTCAATAGTAGACAAAATTGAGTTGAAAAGGCTATTAAACCTTTATTCTCAAGTCACCAAAGAGCACTGATACTAAGTTTAACTGCTGTAGTCAAACTTGTGACTATTTCACTTTCCTTAGTCTCATAGGAAGCATAAAAATTCCTGAGCACCTTCTGACCTGTCTCCCTGCCCTGCAATCGCCGCTCTGCTCGCCCTGCTCCTGGGGCAGGGCAAAGTCCTGTACAAACACCCGAGGCACTAAACAAAACAGGGAGCAGCCACTTCTGGCCTGTCTTCAGCATTCCTCTCGGCAGGGCTTGATTGGGGGATCTCGGGAGAGGAGCTGTAATCATTTGTCTTACTCTGTGATGCGACAGGCAGGCACGACGGCACACTACTCCAGCCAGCTATCATTTGGAATTGACGGGCAGAAGAGAGTACACCACTGGGATTTTTTTCCACAACAAGGCTAGACTTGAGAGTAAGGAATGTTTATGAGATTCCGCTTAAATGAGAGAGGGTCTGCAGTGGCTGCTTTAAAGTTAACCAGCCAAAGGGCTTCTCTGACTAAAGTCATACAACATCCTGCAATGTCTTTTCTAGCCTGAGGAAAAGGCAGGACCAAACCTCAAGCTTCTGTCTTTGGTGAATATCAAGCGCACTGGGCCCAGGTTATATCATATACAAAAGCCATGAGGAGACAAAGTAGCAAACAAAATGTTCTGACAGTTAACAGTTTATTCTAGCATCAGTCTTGAGCATTTGTAGACCTCAGTCGCCCTGGATTCCTGGAAGGGATATATCACACTAGGTAAAAATGTTGATTCCATAGCCATTCCAGAGCTATGTTCATTTAGCTCTAACGCTCATTTAGCATTTAACCTGGACAGACTAGGTTCATCTCTGTGCCTTAATTTGTCATCTGTAAAGTGGACCTAAAATATGTCTAATTCATTGTGTTGATATGAAAATGAGGAATGGGATACATAAAAACACTCAGAACTAGGCTTGGCAGTGATTCTTGAGACACTGGGAATTAATAACTACTCAGTGATTGAGAGTTCAACACTCAATAAACATTACCATCATTCCAAAGACTCTAGTATCTATTCCTTCTTATTTTCTTACCCACTAACTCCTCTACTCCTTGCCTGCATGACACCTCTTATGTAAAGAAACTTCAAGTCCTTATCTCTCAAGAACAGCATGGATCATTTTTAGTCATCCCCTGTACTCTGTGTATACCCACTATAAGAACAAAGCCAACGAGTTTCCTCAGCAAGTTTTATGAAGTTGGAATTGAACCATTATTTTCTTATATGAACTAAAAATTACAGCTCTTACTACCTTAGCTTAGGTTATTAACATGCTCTTAGATCATTACCAGTTTCAACATTTGCCATTAATCAATCAGGTTATATTAATCATATATTAAAATTAAAATATTTCAAAAAGTCATATTTCTACCCACCTTCCACTCCTCAGAGCTCTCAGATTCAGTATTTTGATACCTGGCAACCTAAAAAGTATAGTATACATGGTAAACCCATAGAGAAATCTGCAGGGCAGCAGTTATCAACACTTTACATGCTGAGGAACACATGCAGTCAAATTTCATCCTGCATTAGGATCATGTGGGGGCCTTGCTAATACTCTGCTTTCTGTGTCCATTTTTAGGGAATCTGGGTTAGAGGGTCTGGTAAAACTCAAGAATGTGTATTTCTAGCAAAGTCCTATTTGATGTGGCTCTGCAACCCTGGGGTGACACTTTGAGGACCATCACCATGGGGCAGAAAATGAGTCATAGGCTCTATAAATGGGCATGGACAGAATAAAATTATTTGATTGGTGTTTTAAAGAACACAGCTTCCTGGGAAAGATCTTACTGGAGTATACACAGCCACCTACCTGGTTCATAGTCATTGAAAATAGTTTAAGGTTGGAGAGATGGCTCTGTGGTTAAGAACACTGATTGCTCTTGCAGAGAACATGGGTTTGATTCCCAGCACCCACATGGTGGCTAACAACAGTCTGTAACTCCAATTCCAGGGGATCCAATGCCCTCTTCTGACTTCCCAGGCATTGCATGACACGGGTGTACTTACACACATGCAGGCAATACACTCATACATATTTTTGCCATCATACTTACTGGGAGAGCACAGGATAATCCCCAAAGGAACATAAGTAGGATACCAGTCTTCATATTTGGATGTGATGCCTCTACCTGTAATGAAAGACACACGTTTCCTTTCATGTTGAAGAAATCAAGGAACTCCAAGTTAAATTTTTTTCTTTCAAAAAACTCATTAATCTGTCTAGCATCTGAAAATGAATAGAGAATATGTTCTGTATTTATATGAAGGAACAGCATTTGACCATCAAGTAGAACAAAGCACTAATACCTGCTATGAAATAGAAGAACCTGGAGAAGGTCTATGTAGGGTGAAAAGAAGCTAGGTGTAAAAGATTGCGGTTGTATAACTCCATTTATATAAACTGTCTAGAATATGCAAATCTTTAGAAACAGAAAGCAGAAGTGGTTTCCAGGGCTTGGGAAGATGAGGGGTTAAGGACTGATGACTATGAGATATGGGATCTCTTTTGAAGGTGATGAAAATGTCTTAAAAGGGATTGGTGATAAACACTGACCAAGTCTGTGAATATACTAAAATCCATTCAACTGTAGCTTCAAATGGGTGCTGTATGCTATGTAGATTACACCTCAATAAAGCTGTTTTAAAAATCAGCAAAATGGGGCTAGAGAGATGACTCAGCGGTTAAGAACACTGGTCGTTCCCAGCACCCACATGGCAGCTAACAACTGTCCATAAGTCCAATCCCAGGGGATCCGATGGCCTCTTCTGACCTCCACAGGCATTGCACAACATGGGTGCACTTACCTACATGCAAGCAATACACACATACACATAAAAAATAAATAAAAATAACAAATTTTTAAAAATCAGGAAAACATCACTCTTAAGAGACAAAACTTTTCAGAGATCTATAAATATTTCTTCTCTAATACATAAAATATAATAAATGAGGAAAAATGTAACGAAAAGAGAATAGGGGACTTTCTAGATACATACTTTTATAATAATTTTGCAGTGTGGTATGGTATTACAGAACAACTTTTTCAGTTTATTCCCCCAAAATACTTATCCGGCTTCTCTCTCTCCCCCTCTCCTCTCTCCCCTCTCCCCTTTCTCCTATTATTTTTATAACCATATAATATTGTCTAGACAAAATAAACTATTTTTGTTGATTTTTATTTTGATCTTCAAGTCATTTACTATGACAGGCTTCATATTACAGTTAGAGAAAGCTCTTAATGCCCAGTGTGATGCTTCAGTCATACATTATACATGATTATGCTAAATTCTCATAGGTGTCATCCACAGCACTGAAGGAGCCGGGGAAGATTAGCGGTTTGAGATAACACTGTGGATCATGCTGAAAGAAACGTGCTAAATCAAGCTGCAATTCTCTAGAAAGCAGCTGCATTTCACACCTTAAGAACTGGTGACTTCAAAAAAAAATTGTTTTCAATCTAAACATAGACCTACTTGATGCTAATGTAAAAAGTTATCAAAATGATTTGAAGGGAAATAATTTTTCCTGAACTAGGAAATCTTCTCTAACATAGTTTGATTAACTTGCATTTACAAAAAAAGAAAAAGAAAAATCTGAAAATTTCTTTCAAACTTCACACTTGTTGATTTCTTTCTTTATATATTAAATATGCACTATACCAGTGACAGGATATTTAAGTAATAGAGTCTTGACTTCGGTTGTATGTGAGCATTACTTGGAATTTTTTTTTTTTTTTTTTTTTTGGTCTTTTTGAGACAGAGTTTCCCTGTAGCCCCAGCTGTCCTGGAACTTACTTTGTAGACCAGGCTGGACTTGAACTCACAGAGATCCACCTGCCTCTGTCTCCCTAGTGCTGGGACTATAGGCATGTGCCACTACACCCGCTACCTGGAAATTTTTAAAAAGTATTTTCTTTATTATAATTCAACATACTACATGGTTTTCATGTTTCGATATTATATTAATTTCTTCTTAAGTTCTTTGCCTAATATCAATGAAGAAAAATATAAAAGAAGTTCAACTGCACCTAAAAAACATTCAGTTTAACAGATATTATTTCCAGTTACCTCTGACAATCAAAGCATTTTTAAGTTCTTAGATTCATCTTTTTTAAAAGTAAAAAATAAGAATCCCAAATATGATATTCTCAAAATAACTACATGCCAATTGTTTTGGCTTCCCAGATCAAAGGAAAGTTAAGCAACTTTCTATTCTGATCTTATAAGTAAGTTTGAATAGAGTTCTAACCTCATAATACCCTGATCTCTAGCATATATTCCATCCTTTGATTAAATATCAATGACTGTTGAGTTATCTTGTATTTTCTTTAATTATCCAATAATTGAAAAAATGAGAAGTTGCAATATGTTCTTCTAAACTGATGAATGTTGTGGGTTTTCCACCAAGAAGGGTATGGTATCAGTGTTCATGTTTCTTGGGACTGGAATAATGTAACATCTAAGAAAGGTGTGCTGACTTGCTTGGACTTCTACAAATACCATTTAGCATCCAGACCTAAAGCAATAATTTCCCAAATAGAAGACTGGTAAACTAAAATAAGACACCCTAGAGTCACAAGAAAGCTGATGTTGCTTCCCAGAGAATATAGCCCACTGTTAAGCATTAAAGAAAGTCAAATCTTAAAGCCTACATTAGGTTTTCAGTTAGTATTTTTATTATACTATAAACACTTTTGTGAAGCCTATTTCCAAATGAGAACATCAAACTTGCATAAACTTTTTAGCTGTTCTCTAAGAAAGAGTAGAGGCAGATCTACAGCAGCCTGAATAACCACAAGCTCAAACATCAGGAGTCCAGAGCCACAAGCTTTTCTTCAATAATTACTTAATGGGACCCCTGTGTTCCATATGCTGCCATTTTACAAGAGCATCTAACCAGAGGAGCTCAACAACCTTGACTTGAGTCGCATCTGTTTGGACGTCACTGTATTAGTGACCTTTGGCTTTTCTGAATTGTTAGCTCAGAGTTGAGAAGTTCCAGATAGGATTTGGAGAAAGGAATTGTGATCTAGTTTTGGAGTGTACACCAAACTCTATGTTTAACTAAAGAAAATTGTTCTGGAATTTTCCCACAGTTAAGATTCATCTGGAAAGTTTATATCTCCTTTGATGTAAACTGAAATGAAAGAAGGAAACCAAATATAGAAAATCAAAAAATGAAAAATCATAGGCTCTTTTTTAATCCTCAGAAAATAACATGTTCATTTTTTTACTTTGTCTTAGTTATTGCTATCCTTAAAAAGAATACTAACAAACAACACAGTCACTAATTAGTCTTTAAGAAATATTTGTTGAGAACAGCTAATGTTCCAGGCACTGTTCTAGGTGCTGAATATACAATATATGTAATATAAAAATAAATGATTAGCAGCAGCAGCAGTAGTAGTAGTATTGCTATTATCTGGTCTTATAAAAGCCACCCCCATCCCCCAAGACCACCTTATCAGCACTGGCTAGAATTTCTTTCCTCATTACTCTTTGAAAATAAAGTGGAATTTGTACAGAATGTAAACTCTATTGGAATTCAAAGAACTAAACAAACAAGCAAAAAGAAAATTTCCAATATTTCCTGTAATTAAAATTGTCTTTAGGACAGTTACCATCAATCCAACATTATATGCCTTCAACCACAGAGAAGTGTCCCAAATATAGGGTGGGGAGGAACCTAAACACCTGAGGCACGCTGGTCCACATCACCATTTGGGAACAATAAACAGACTAATGTCCTTTAGAAAATTGTATGTTCACATACTTTTTCATTAACAAGGTTAAGGTAGAATAGTCCATGTGAGTCTCAGTTAAACATAAACTTTAGTTAACCAGAAGTCATTGCTTCTGAAGAAGACAACATACTTGAAGGATTTCTACTTCACTTAGGTTCTTCTAGATGTCATATGGACTGCATGGCCTGACCACTCGCTGTTGTAGAGAACAGATACTATGATATTGATGAAGAAGTGGAGTAAATATAGCAAGTAAAACTATGAATGATGGAATTATATATACATATATATCATATATAATGTGTCTTCTACACTAGGAAATGTTTTAAAGACAATTCTACTCAGCACTTATTAAATGCTCTCTTCATTCAAAGCATTACACTAACATGAATATCGAACTAATCAATATAAACACTGTAATTTCATATGCTTGGTTCATTTCAGTGATCTTAGCATCATCTTTCAATTACATACACAATTCATAATGGTATTATTGCTCTCTAAAGGAATAACATACTAAGTGGTTTTTAATTTACAAGACCATATTTTGAAACTCCAGACACTCTAGTTTAGATTCTTTCACAACATCTCCATATCTAGAATGGATGAAAGTTTTATTTTACTAATTAAAATTAAATTTCAAAGTGAGTTTTCTTTAGCTTCCTGTTCAGTAAACTTTCCCTTTCAGAATTAACTACACAGGGATCTAATTAAAGCATTACCAAGAAAAACACTTTGCTCTATTGACTTACTTGTCATTTTAATACCATATTCTACTGTGACATCAACAGAAACAAAAATAAGAATCATTTTTACTCAAAGCTCAGCCCTCCCCATCTTTCTCTGCATAACAGTGCCTCATAACACGTTTGATATTTTCAGACAACAGAGCAAAGCCATTTAAAAAATAAATGAAAATTCCTTACCCACTTAAGTTCACAAAGAATTTTCCCCAAAGTCTCAAAAACCAGGTTGAAGTTCTCACAGAGGAATCTCAAAGTGCCTCTCTCGTGTGGCTGCTCTAAACACTTCTCTGATGGTGCAGAATTTAAACTCTGATGCAGCTCCTCAGACCAATCATCCTAAGGCTGTGGGTGACTGACATCACAGGTGTCACCGGGACCCCACACACCCACACTTCCTCCAGCTGGCAGAGGTAGGTTTTCCCTAAAAAGCTCTTGTGGTTCCCAAATGACTAGACTAGTTTCCATTAAATTGAAGATCTTCCTAAAGCTTTATTTTGATTTCTAAATATATGTCATTCACATCCATTCAGGCTTATGAACATTATAAACAACGACATTGTCTTCCGCCCACTAACAGATCCCAGCAGACCCAAGGATGGGAAAAGGAGGGTCAGAGGT